CCCCCCCCATGCCCACACAGCTGTGTACCATGCTCCCTCATGTGCAGAGCAGCGGAGAGGGGCGGTGCAGCAGGGCTGGACCCAGAGTGGATGGGGGAGCTGGGCATGACCCAGAGCAGCAGCAGCAGGGGGGTGGGTGCAAGGCAAGAGCCAGAGTAGCAACTGGTGGCGGGGAGCCCGCAGGGCAAGATGCTGGTCTCTATCCCCAGCCCTTCCCCCCCTGCCCGGTCATTTATGCCGGGCATTTTGCTAGTTTTTAATAACTAAGGTCACTGTGAGCCACATCTTGCACAAGGGTTAAACCACTTAAACTGGAGCATAAATATCCAGCACTTATATATTATATCCAGGGGCCTGCAGAAGGATGAGTTGAAGGGGGCATGGTTATGACCACAGATCTGCATTTTACATTTGCAATGGAAAAACATGGATTTTGTCCTTTAAAGGAGAAAAATGTGGGTTTTCTTCTTTAAAGGAAAAAAACACCTGCAAACTGTGGGTTTCCCCCTGCAGGCTGGCATTTTCAGCCTGTAAGGGGCTGCGAGAGTGGGACACAAGGGGTGCCACATGCACATTCGTGCGCACACATGCACAGGGCAGCTAGGCAGTGTGGCAGAAAGCAGCCCGCTCAAGGTAAGTCTATGGGGGCAGGGAGGGCATAAGCGATGCGTCGTGGGGCAAAGGAGTACAGGCAACATGGAGTGGGGGTGCACGTGCACCCCCAGATTTCTGTGCCCACAGCAGAGTGTGGGGCTGCAGACTGGGTAGACCAGCTCTAGCCAGGAGCCCCTCTGTGGCCCAAGAGATAGGACCTGGCATGAGAGGGAGCACTGTGCTGCCATGGCAAGGCACCCCCTGCCCACCCAGCGGTAGCAGGGGGCACAACTCTGTGCCACCACCACACCTTGTCTTGGTGACCATGGCAGTGTGACGTTCCCTCCCACACTGGGTCCTGGCCACTGGGCCACAGAGTTGGTCCAGCCCAGTTACAGCCCAACAACCAGCTGTAGGTGGAGAAATCTGGAGTGCGGGGAGGGAACATCCCCCCCCGCCGCATGTTGCCTGTGCCCCACCGAGGAGCACCTGTACCTCTCCCATGCATTACCTGTGCCCATACCTCCCTTCCCCCAACAGCCACCCTGTTCTCCACCTACCCACTCCCTTCCTTGCACGCTCGGGGGCTGGGGGTAGAGGGCAGTGGGTTGATAGTGAGGGGCACTAAGAGCTAGGGGACTGTAGGTCAGCAGCAAGGCTATAGGTTGGGAGGAAGGGGCAGTGGCATGGGCAGGGCATCAGCATATCAGGGCTGCTCAGCACCACAAAGCAGCAGGGGGACAGCTGCAGCTAGATCTGCTTTGTGGTGAGCAAAGGGGCCGGAGAGGAGCTCTGATTTTGTATGATAAAAACTGTAAAATCAAATGCTAAATTATATAGGCTTTTTGAATTTATTTTATTCTAATGATTAAGACACGGGTAGGCTTCCAAAACCGCTTAAAAATTGTAAATATATCACTAAAAATTGTGTTCACTTGATACCTATCTATATATGGGGCATTTCATTTCAATTGCAGAAAAATGTGAAGGAGGGGGTTTAATCAGAGATTTGGGGGTTTTAAAACAGAGAAAACCAGGATCCCTGGTTATGACTGGCATAGCTAGGGAGCAGTAAGATCTCCCACTGAACTTTCAAGTTAGGCTCCTTAAAGAATTGCATTACCCCTGGCTGTGGCAAAACAGGTGCCTAGTTTCCACTGTAGGTGACCCAGAGTCTGAGATTATAGTCCAATTTCCCTATGGATGCTCATTTTTGAGGGTTTCCAAAACTACTATGACACCCTGGAAGAAAGATCATGGTAGTTTTTCCAGTATGAAAGTCAAGGGTTTTTTGCTCTTCGTGGCAAAAGATACTAACGGAGACAAGGGCAGATCCCACATTTGCATTTAGCGCAACTCTTTGCACATAATTTAAGTGAGGAGTCTAACTAAACTTGCTATAAACATATACAGAATATTAACTAATTTACAAGGGTGTAGGTTGTAGCCATATTGATCTAATTAATTAGTTAGACAAGGTTATTTGGATAAATCCAACATCTTTTATTAGACCAACTAAATAGTTGGAAAAGATTTTCCTAGCAAACTTTTGGGTTTAAAAACCCTTCGTCAGGCTGAGGAAGCATCTACAGTTAGTGTGCGCTCTTCCTGGATGGAATGAATAGTAAAAGAAGCCAGAGGCTGGTGTGCATGCAAGAAAGGTGGTCAGTGAAAATGTAAAATGAGGAGTCAGTGGGTGAGAGAGAGGCTGGGGGAATGAATGCAGCAGGTAAATAGCGGAGAGGTACCTAGAGAGTCAGATGCCAGGCAGGCTACAGTGTGTCATAAATCCAATGTCTATATTTAGTCCATGATTATTTTGTATCCAGGAGGCTGATGAAGTGGAGTTCTTAGGCTTGTCTGTGAAAAGTGTTTTGTAAATTCCCTTTGAAGATTAAAACTGAGAGCTTGGAGAGAGAGTAGTTTTCTTGTGAGAAATGTATGTCCACAGGTAATTGGGTATTCTTGTCGTTGATAAATTTCCAGTGTGCATTCAGTCTGGTGCGCAGTAGTTGTTTGGTCTCTCCTACATATCTTCTATCAGGGCATTTGGTGCATCAGATGAAATATATTACGTTTCTGGAGGTGCAGCTGTAAAATCCAGGAATGCTGATTTTTTCCTGTTGTGGGGTGTAGTAACTGTGAAGGTGGTGGAGATGTGTTGGCAGGTTTTGCATTTCTTGTTATAGCATGGTCTGGATCCATTCGGTGTGTTTTAGGCGGTAGGAAGTTTGCTTCTGGAGATGAGGTTAGCGAGGTTCGGTGCTTGTTTGAAGGCTAGGATGGGTGGTTCTGAGAAGATCCCTTTAAGAACTGGATCTCCTTCTAGTATGGGTTGCAGCTGTTTGAGGATTTTCCATATAGGTTCGAGGGAGGAGTGGTATGTCATAACCAGTGGCCTGTAATTCATGGGGGTTTTCCTTCTATACTGCAACAATTCTTCATGTGGTATCCAGGTGGCTCTTTCAAACACGTGATCTCTCTCTCTGGAGGAGTGTTCTTGTTGAGTGAAAAAGCCTTTTTGAGATTTGTGAGGTGACAATCCTGGGCGTTCTCCTCAGTGCAAATTTGGTGGTATCTGAGGGTTTGGCTGTATATCACAGCTTTCTTGGTGTGTTTAAGGTGATTGCCGGTTCTGTGCAGATATGTATGTTGGTCTGTGGGTTTCTTGTACAACGTGGTCTTTATTTTACTATTCTGGATACTGATAGTTGTGTCTAAAAAGGAGGTGTTGGTGCTGAAGTACTCAAGAGATAGTTGGATGGAGGGGTGATGATTGTTGAATTTCTGATGGAACTCAATCAGAGATTGCAGGTTTTCAGTCCAAATGATGAAGGTATCAGTATAATTTAAGCATAGCAAGGGTTTGATGGTACAGTCCCTGAGGAATTCTTCTTCCAGATTCTCTCACAAGAAAACCACTCTCTCTCTCCAATCTCTCAGGTTTAATCCTTAAAGGGAATTTACAAAACACTTTTCACAGACGAGCCTATGAACTTCACTTCATCAACCTCCTGGATACAAAAAATCATGGACTAAATATAGACATTGGATTTATGACACATTATAACCTGCCTGACATCTGACTCCCCAGATACCTCTCCACTATTTACCAGCTTCAATCATTCCCCATTCCCCCTTGTCCCCCCAGCCCATCTCTCACCCACTGACTCCTCAATTTACATCTTCACTGACTGCCTATCTTCCATCCAGGAAGAGCACACACTAACTGCAGATGCTTCCTCAGCCTGACGAAGGGTTTTTAAACCTAAAAACCTGCTAAGAAAAAAAATTCCAGCTATTAATCTACTAAAAGATATCAGATTTACCCAAAGAATCTTGTCTAACCAACTTAGAAGAGTTTTACAACTAGTGCTGCTAGAAATAGGGATTATCTAACAGGTAGAGCTTGGTTTTATACATACTTGACTTATAATCAAAGAACATCTCTTGTTCCTGAAACCAGACCCTGAAGGGAAATTACAATCCTAAAATTATTCCCCACCTTGAAGGCTCAGTGTGGGTTTATGGGCACCCGTTTCATTTCCAGAGAAAATCATCAGAAAAACTGCATGGGGTTAGATTTTGTGAGCAAGTTCATATAACTAAAAACAAAGCGTGAAGCTCTCATCTGGAAGAAAAGGCACAGGACTACCCCAAGATCCTTAGTCATATAGGAGGATTTAACAACAACAACTACGCACTATTTTGTATCCCGTTACAAATTCACGAGCTCTTTGCCCATGCGCACAGAGCCGAGGGGGCGCTGGGACCCGGCTCAACGACCCCCAGAGCCCCCCAGCCAGACCCCGCCTATGCGGGAGCCGCACGCGCGCCCCGCTCAGCCGCTGCTTTTTGCTCTTTCCTCCAGGTCCTCAGTAAGGGGGCAGGCGCACTACGCATGCGCGCACGGCGAAGAGGCTCGCGGGCCTGCCGGCGGGACCTGCTACGCTACTGCCACCCCGCGCCGACCTCCTCACGCCTCCACTCACTGCCGGGACAGGCCGCGATCCGGCCCTTCAGCGCCTGTCTCCACTCCATGCCCCGAATCCGTCTCACGCTCTAGCCACCGCGCATCCGGGCTACTGTGCTCACATCATGTGGCCCGCTACCACCGCCATCTTAGGGGCTGCCATGCCTCCCTGCGTCACGTGCCCGGCACGGCACGGCCCTAACTCTTGCCCACAGCCAAGATGGAGTCCAAAGGCCACTAAGGTGATTCTAAGACGCCCTCCTTTCATAGGATCCCGGCGGTCACGTGCACAATACCCTTTTCCGTGAAGGAGTTCGGTGGGAGCTCCGATTGGCTGAGAGGCCCTAGCTTGAAAAGTCTGCTGGGTACAGACCGCTCGGCCGCCTCTAGCGCTTCGGTGGGAGTTTAGCAGTGGTGACAGGTTGGTGCTTGCCACGCGTGGGCTCGGGTCGGTCAGCGGGCGGAGGGCAGTTTTCAGTGAGCGCGCAATCGGCGCAAACTCCAACTCGTTTTGCGCCACGATGGGGTGCACATGTTCCGCCACCGCCTCACGTTGCATGCCGGGTACTAGTTTTTCCGGAGACGGGGTGAGGCCGCCGAGACCCGCCTTGGCTGTGGATCCACGTGGGTGGCGGAAGGGCCAGGGATCGGCTCCCGGCCTCTGCCCTGCACCGAGCGGGCGGCGTTGACCCGCACAGTTTGGATGGTAGTTACCTCGAGTTAGCGCCCTCGCTCCCTCAGTGGTCTCGGGGTTCATTCGGGCTCTTCACAGGTACTGAGTGCAGGCCCAGGGGCTTGGGGCCCAGGATCCCAGCACAGCAGGCTTGTCTTGGGGCAGGACCCGGCCTGTTTTTAGCCCAAGCAGGTGCTGGCGAATGTGAACGACCCTGGGTAGTCTGAGGTGTTTGATGCAGTGATGACCCCATGTCCCTCAGCAGGTTGATTGCCTTGTTTGTTCTCCTTGGCATATTGAGCTGCAGGTGCTGCCTTTCTCAGCACTGCCCCCCCACCCCCAGTGTTTATGTTTAAATTCCCTTCTATCTGGAACCGCTGCTTTCTGGAAGTCGCTTTGTAGCATCTGAAGAAGCAGGATGTGCCTAGGAAAGCTTACGCTTCTCTGAAGCAGTTAGTCTTTAAGATGCCCCCCCTGCCCTGCCTTCTGCAGAAAAGTATGCCTTCCTGAGGTGCCCCTTACTACAAACTGGCTGGCAAAGCACGTGATGGCTGCTACCAGAAAGCATCCCCTGCTTAATGGGGAGCCTAGGCACAAGTTTTTCCTTGTTCCTGTTCAGAGTAGACAGTTCCCACTTAAAGTTTATGGACTTGGGGTAGAAACTTTGTGTTATTGGCAGCATCTCAGCAGTCTCTAGGCACGAAATGTTGGAATCTCGACCTGAAGTGGTTCAGTTTTTGTTGTTAAAATGTAAACTGAATTGAATTGCTGGATGTTACCTTTGACAGTGGTGCTAACGTTGTCCTTTGTGGTCTGCTTTTTATTTTTAGGGACTCATCTCCTTATTTGGAGGGAAGCAGCAGAAGAGCTCTGTTTTTGGAAGCTGTATTGTATTCCCCAGTTCCACATGCATGTATGACAAACCTTAAAGAGCATTAGTAGGACAGCCACAATAAACAGCGATTTGCAGGCCTTTTTCTCTGGAAGAAAGACATCCTATTTTTTTTTATTAATATTTTGCTCATTTTAAATGTTTCTCCATTTTGGCATCTTTTGTTTTCAGGAAACTTTTAAGATTATGTGCCCTTTTGTTTAGACAGCCCTTAGATTTGAATTATACATTTATTTGTGCAAACTGCACTTATTGTTAGATCTTTCCTGGAAATCTTCCCCAGCATATTGATTTCTTCTTATGGCTTTCTTCCTTCAAGCGAGTAACTGGGGTTTGCAGACTTTCCTGGGTAGATGTTTCCTGTTCCAGCCTGCTTCCACTTGTCAAAAATCACTGGCTCTCATGGTTCACCTCCTCAGTAGGGATCAAGTTAAAGGTTTGCCTTTTACTACATCTTCCCAATCTGCAGTACCTCAGGATCTCAAAGGAGTTCATATGCTGCACAAGTCCAGATCTGGAAGCAGAGATGGAAAAAAAGAAAAAAGGAAGGAGCGCTCCAGGGAAGAGGACAAGGAGAAAAGTCTTATGTCCCCGTTCTCTGCTGGAGCTGCCAAACAGCGATCAGTGAGCCAGCAGACACCTACATCTATGAGACTGCCTAGGTTGTCTAAAAAAGATGATATCCAGCCTCCAGAAAAACCTTTGAATGCTGAGGAGTGGCAGGAATGGAGGACACGATTAGAGCATCTTACAGATTTTGAAAATGTAATGTTACATCAAATGATCAAGTACGAAAGCTCCATAGATGTGGCCAAGTCCTTGATGGCTGATGTGGTATTGAGAAATGGGGAGGTCAAGTATAATTTATTGCTTGGGTACCTGATTCTGTGTGTCCAGCAGAAGCAGGTGGCAGAAATTTTTGATATCTATGATATAATGAAACTCAGATTTAAGACTTTAGACCCTGGGGGTTACAGTCTTCTAATCAGGGGTCTGAGTGATACAGAGCGTTGGAGAGAGGCCATTTTGCTACTGAAGGAGATTAGAAAAGTTACACCCCCCTCTAAAGGGAACTATGGATATTGTATCAAAGGGGCTCTCAATAATCAAGATGTACAACTGGCATTAGAAGTGTATCATGAAATGGTGGCCGAAAATGTGATGCCACCCTTGGATGTGCTGCAGGCCTTTTTTGATACCTGCAAGGGTACACAAGATGATAAATTAAAAAAAGAACTCTTAGATATGCTTCTGTGTTTTAGAGAGAACCAAGTCTATCCTAATGAAGCTCTTATGCAGAGTATAAAGCTGTGGTTTGAAAGGTAAGTAATGTCATTTCAGAAGTAATTGACTAGAGTTGGTGAAGGAATGGGTGACATTTCCTGTTATCCTTTATCTTGCAGAAACTCTAAATAACCCTGCCAGCCTCAGGATGAAAGCAACTGTGTGTAGGTGGGGTGGTGCTGGCTCAACATTATGATGTGATGGTGCAGTATTTAAGGGGCCCAGTACTAGCAGTTCAGTGTCTCATGAAGAAAGACATCCTCACTTCAGAGAAGGTCTTAAAGGATTGTGTGCTAATGGGAATCTTGTTCCCATTTGATGCATCACCACCTACCTCGCCACAGAAGAAAAGGGAAGAAACTAGATTATGGGTGTGATGGTGGTAGAAAGCAATTTAGTAGATGCCTAGATACTGTAGTAATTTGTAGTATAAATTATTAGATTAACCTCATTTCTCTTGCTGCATGTTTCTTCTCTTGTTATTTTCTCAGACCCAGATCCTACATCAGCAGTGTTCTAGGAAAGCTTGGCCCATGGGCCAGATATGATCTGCACAGCCATGTCATCTGGTGGCCTGCAGGGCTCCCCACTGGTCTGGAAATTTGGCAGTGGGGGAGTGGTGGCAATTAACACTGTCACTGCTCCTGACCCCGCACTACTAAATTTCCAAGCAGCCATAGGCCAGATGCCATAATCCTGCACCATCTGGCACAGGGCCCAGTCTTGTGGATTCAGGGACCAATCTGGCACATGGAGCTGGGACGTAATCTGGCTAGGTTGGCCATCTACACTGTGTTGGGCCTTGGCTGGGCTAGTCTCATGCTCTGGATTGGGCCTGCAGATTGGATCTGGTCTGTGGACTGACCCTGTGCCACTCATCTATCCCACAGGATAAGGTTGGGCACCGTTGTTTTGCATCAAACCAAAAGGAATTTGGCTCTTTATCTCATAGGTGTAGAACAAAGCTCTCGCCCACTTCTGTATCTAGTGCCAATCCAATTTCATTATATTTTGCTTTCTTCTCCCTCTTTCTTTACCTCCACATTTGATGTTGACCTCACAACTATTGAACTTTGGTAGTGCCAGTTACAAGGACTTCAGTATTCCCAATTTCTTAAGTACCTTGCTGAAGTCAGCAGCTTCAAAATTGCTAGCGTACATGCTTCCTGGTCAAGCCAAACTTTAATATAGAGGTGGCTTAACTGTCAAGAGCACTGTGTATATGGTTCAGTACTGATTCTTTGAACAACAGTAGTTGGGATATCACATCACAAGGTGTGACTTATGAAATATTCTCTATAGCAGGGGTGCTCAACCCCTGGCCTGTGCTGGGGATGTAAGTATTGTTTAAAAATTATCTGTTTATTCTCCTCTCCTGTTTATTCTCCTCTCCTCTATACTGGTTAAACAGTTAACCGATAATACATACCTACTCCTGGCCTGAGGGTGCAGAGCCCCGGGCCAGAATCTACCCTGCCCTGCTAGGGACTACACACAGACCCACTTGGGCACAACTGCTGCTGGGATCTGCTCCCCAACATCTTTGACAGGAGCAGGAGGAAGTGGCAGCAAGCTTCCCCTCCCCCACAAAAGCACAGCCCATGTGCAGTAGGAGCAGGTTAAGTGCTTTCCCAGCTGATTTCAACTTTAAAGTAACATGTTATCTCTCTCCAGCCAGCTTCCTGGCACCTGTGAAGGAGCAGCTAATTGCTTAATTGACCAGTCATTAAACAACCTGCTATTTGTCTCTCTAACCCTATGGCTATGGGTACTAGTCCCTCCTTGCTCCTCCCTCCTGCCTGCCCTGACACCTTCTTGTTTCTGAGGCACTACGCTGCTTTCCTTCCCCACTGTACTGTGCCCCATGCTAAATGTTAACCAGTTGATGCATTACTAGTATAAATATAGATTTCATAGACACTTGGGCTGGAAGGGACCTCAGAAGATCTCCAAGTCCAGCCCTCTGCCCCAGGGGCAGGAAGTCAGCAAGAGTCACAGGATCCCAGCAAGATAAACATCCAAATGTCTCTTGAAGGCATTCAAAGTAGGTGCTTGAACCACCTCCAGCCGCAGTCTATTCCAGACCTTGGGGGCTTGGACAGTAAAGAAGTTCTTCCTTATGCCCAGCCTGAAAAGGTCATGGAGGAGTTTGTGACTGTTTGATCTTGTCATCCCTTGGGGTGCTCTGGTGAACAGATGGTTCCCCCAGATCCTGGTGAGCATCCCTTATAAACTTATAGGCAGCCACCAGATCACACCTGAGCCTGGCGCTTTTCCAGGCTGAAGAGTCCCATAGCTCTCAGCCTCTCATCATAAGGTTTGTTTTCCTGACCTCTGATCACACACGTGGCTCTCCTCTGGACTCTCAAGCTTTTCCACATCCTTTTTTAATTGTGGAGCCCAAAACTGGACATAGTACTCCAGTTGTGGCCTCACCAAGGCCGAGTACAATGGGAGAATGACATCCTGGGATTTGCTTGAGAAGCATCTATGGATGCAAGCTAGCGTTTTGCTCGCTTTACTAGTTGCAACATCACTATAACAGGGGCGCCTCCTTAGGGTCCGCCTACTGGTGGCCCCACCCACCTGTTACAGGCCAACTGCCTGCCTTCTCTCTTGCCACGCCTTGTTGTTAATTGATTGATAGATGTAATTAAGTGGGAGGCTGCCCATTTCCTGCCCCAATGCCAGGGGACGCTATTTGCGGCTCCGTTCCTCCCCTACACCGCAGCCCAAGCCTCGCAGATAGAATCAACTTTGTTCAGTCTAGGCCTTATTATAATTTGGCTCCCAGGTCCTCCCTGGGCCCTCCGCAGCCCTGTCTCGCTCTGCGCCTTCCCTGGTGCCCGGGTCGATGCACCCCCAAATGCTGCGCCCTCTCTGGCACCGGGGTTCCCCATGCTGCCGTGGGTCCCCTATGAGGCCTCCTCCATCCCCTAATAGCCTCACCCAAGCCACCGGTCTTAAACAGCAAACAAAACACAAGCCCCTGGGCTATAACATAAGTCCAAGCCGCCCAGCTATAACATCATTCAGACCATACTGGGGAATACTCCATCCATCAACAGTGTCAGAAGCTGCTCCTGCAGTCAGACCTCTCTGTTTTGGTTGCTCTGGGAGAGCTCCTTCCCCCTTGGTTGCTGGCAGGGAACTGCCATCTTGGCCTCAGGCCTGGGATTTATGTGAGCCAGGCCCTGCCCCTTCCAGTCAGCTGACCACTGGCAGGTGTGGGCCACTAGGTCACTCTGGGTGCCCTGGTAATCAGCAGCTGGGGCTCCCCACTCACTGCTAGGGCTCTTCCCCTAGCAGTTTCCACTGTTTATAGGAGCCAGGCACCTAAATGCTCTGCGACACACCTCCCCGCTTAAGACCCTCACTCACCCGAGTGGGTCTTCACATTTTCAGGTATCACATCCATCCTGGGCTTCTCTCAGCCTTTCTTCATTCGCACGGCAACTCAGGAACAGGAGGCAGAGGTTTTCAGGCGCCTCCTACTCACCTTTTCCCCAAGGGCGCACCATGTGGGATTTGCTGGGAGTTACCCCGCCACAGGTAGTCCCCCCACATTAGCCAGCCTTGGGAGGGTGCAACTTAGGCCTGTCTTTTCTCCTCTTCTATAGCCTTTAGATGATAGTGAGGATGGCTCCAGGCATGGTGTATTCTTCTGACTGAGCCTGCAGGCGCAGCACCATAGTCATTGGGAATCCGCCTCTCTGCTGCCCCTCTGTCCTTCTCCACTGGCTATATGTAAGGTCTTGGTCCTCCTCTTCCTGTCACCTGACCAGCTGGCAGGGCTTGAGCCTTAACCCCTACTTGACCAGCCGGCTGTGACTGGAAGGTTCTGGACTTAAAGGGGCCGCCCTGTCTCTTAGTAACAGGATTAGGGTTCCCTGTTACAATCACATTGATGGCTCGTGTTCATATACTTATCATTCAAACATTTAACCTTTCACATCCCTACTGTGGGCCCGTGTCATCTGGCCCAGGAGGCTACCCATGGCCCTAGAAATTTGGCAGTGGGATAACAGCAGCAGTACTTCCCTACCACCTAATTTCAGACCCCTGGAGGACCACAGGTCCTGTGAACTGGATTGGGCACTTGATCCCAGCTTGAAGGGCTGGGTGTGGGCAGTATTGGGCTCCAGGGTCTAATCCTGATGGGGTGGGGGGTCCAAGAGGGGGCGGTGCCAGGACCCATTCCTGACATGATGGGACCGGAAGGTATGGTACTAGGCCTGCAGAGACCAATCACAATGGAAGGGGTGGTGCCAGGCCCTGAAGGACCAATCCTGGCACAAGGGTGGGAAGAGGTGGTGCGGGGCTCCCAGAGACCAATCTCAATGCACAGGGGCTGAGGAGGGTGTCTGTGCCAGCTCATTGGGATTCAATCCTAGCATCCAGCAGTGCGAGGGGACAGTGCCATGCCCCTGGCAAATGATCCTGGTGTGCGGGGCAGGGGGTAGTGCTGGGCCGCTGGGCCCAATCCTGGCACACAGGGCTCATTTCAGCCCACAGACTGGCCCCACCCCACTTATCTGGCCTGTGGGGTCAAAAGGTTGAGCACCACTCTATAGTATGAATGGTTAAATATTTTATTTCTATACACAGGTCTTTGGTTGTAATTCAAATATAATTAAATAAAAAGCTAATATTTTCTAAGTTCTTTTCTTTTCTTTTTTTTAGTGTTCCAGGAGAGAAATGGACAGGACGCTTGACCAGCATTGAAAATGGGTAAATGTACCATTTTGTTTAAAAAAGTATTACATTTGATTTTGTTTGGTTGTATGTTTGGGGTTTTTTGCCTGGAGCTTTTCTGCCCTAAAACAAGAAAAAGTATAATTTTTCTTTTTTTATTTATTTATTTTATTCCTAATTTCCTACTTAAGTGAAGTTTTGACCATTAAGAATTTCTGATACATTCACAAGCTTTTAATGGCATTACAACCTCCAAAACTCCTGGGAAAGAAGACACCGGGGCAGTGAGGATACGGATGATCTTGTGGGATATCATCCTAGTATTGCTGTTGAGAAGACATGCTGCTGAGCTAGACTGCAATTTGTAGTGTGTTGAGAAGGGTTCATTATTTATTTTGTTTTGGTACAATCCCTAGCCTGGGCTGACAGTCAGCTGATGGTTGGGCCTAGCTATGGATGTGTGGGCACCCCCTGCACTGGCAAGTGGGGCACGATTGGAATCTGGTCTGCTATCCCAAATTATGCTTCCTGCCATGGTGTGTCTGAGCTCACAAAATGGTACCAAGCGATGGAATCAGTTGGCAGTCTGCAGAACTTTTGGATGGAGGCTACATTCCAGGAACTCTCTGGCAAGGTCAACTCAATCTCATAGTGCAGAGATACCAATATGAGAACTGCTTGGACAATATTGTAATCAGTTGGTTCCAATTTCTTTTGTTGATCTTTTTTTTTTTTTTTAACTTAGCATTGCCAGTGTATGCCCTTTAAAATGAACTAGCTACTAAAACAGTATTTCTTTATACCCATATCTGAGTGGTTAGATGCCATTTTGAGAATGGGCAGGGAGAGAGGAGAATGCGAGTGAAGTTTCAGAGGCTGTGGAGAAGCTAAAAAAGTGTATGGGAGGCAGTAAATTACCCTTTCCTGACTCTCCTTTTTTTCTGAGTGGTTTCTGCCTCTGGATATGGCTGTTTTTTAAAGATGCCCTGGCTCTTCATGGGGTAGTGGTAACTCTGGGACATAGCACCATAATTGTACTGTCCTTCTTTGCCTTACTATTAGGACTATCACAGTTCTTTTCTTTGTCTAGGATTGGAACCTTGTCCCTGTGGTACTTGTTCTTCTCCATCTCCTCTCCTTGAGACAGCTCAGACAATTTATTTAGTCCTTTTAACTAGCAGAAGAAAGCTGGTGACTTGTTAGCTGGACTCTTGTTTGTTAATTTAGGCAAACATAGTCAGATGCCTTCAGAACACTTCAGGCTTTCAATAACGCTTGACTGTGTTATGGTGCTTTCCTTGTTGGAATATGATTTGAACTAAAAGACAATGACTTCAAAACATTAAAAATAAAAGCATATTGGGAGGATTTAGTAGAAGGATAAGACTTGTTCCTGTTGAATTATGAATAATTTAGTCTTGCTTCTCAAAATGCAGATGCTTTTAAAAAGCATTTTAGCAGATAACAGTTACTAAAATCTCAATTTTCCTTTTAAGCCATAATTCATGTTACTTGGATAGCCTTATCCCAAAGTACTCCAATTATGCCTGCAAATAGTCTACTTTACATGTTTGAGTGACATGAATTGCCAGAACAAAATGGAAGTTAAACAGAAATGTTGGCATATAAATTGTAGAGAGGGAAAAATATCTGTACCTAGAATGGCAAGAAAGAGGCTGAAGTATAAAAATGAGGGGGAGATTTTCATTTAGAAAGGAATGCTCTCAACCCTTTCAAAATTTGTCTTTATTAGCATGCACAAACAGATTAGTAAGGCATATACACAGAACCACAGTATTGTTGTCGGGTAACAGACAGTGGGCTTAATTCTGCTCTAGTCTGTAGTTGTGTAAATCCAAAATAACTCCATGAAAAACAGTGTATTTACTCTGGATTTTCATCAGTGTGAATGAGTGAAGCCCATGCATTGATAAATGCAAACTCTGAGAATAGCAGAATCTGAGATGTCTCAAATATTTGTTTACTTAGTAGACTGTTTAGTTTTGTCAGTTTATGTGTGGGGCTCGCTCTCTATAGTATATGAGCAGCTGATTGTCTTTAAAGTACTAGTGTCTGTTTTGATGATGGGGAACTGAGACAGAGACTAAATTACTTCCCCAGAAAACTTGTAGAACAGTAAACTTTCAAGCCCCATGTTAGTACCGGAATCATTGGACTATTCATCCTTTCTCTTTACTAATAGGGACTGTAGCACAAAATTTGAGCCTTCTAGGCTTAAATAGTCAAGACTTAAAGAGTATGATTCAGAACTTGTTGTTATCTTAAAATCTATTTTCATTGATTGTAGCAGGGTTTGATTCTTGCCTAAGGAGGGCACAACTTATTTTTCAATGATGGTTTTTAATAGAAAGGTGTAAACATACAGTCCCTGAATACCTGGAAGTGAAATTGAACATAGCTTTTACTGTTCTTGTTCAAATACATGTTTTATTATTCCTAATTTACTTTCTATTACAGTTGGGGGTGTCCAGTTTGTAACCAGGTCTTAGAAACTATTGAGCTAAGTAAAAAGGAATATAATATTCTCAAGAAAAAAATAATGAAGAATGTGATGCAAGGAAGCGATATATTCAAAAAGACAACTCCCCAGGTAAGTTCCTAGTGCTTTCAGCTTCATTAATGGGAGAGTCCAGAATGGTTACTTTTTAGTAGTTTTAAACCAACAGTAAATTATTTACACAATTTTAAATTAAAGACTTTTTTAAAATGATGTGAACACTAGAAATCTTGACTGTTTTATAGTTAAATCTATTCAAGATTTCAAGCTACCACAAAACCCATGTTGCACTTTCAGTAAAATTGATTTTATTAGGGATTTAGTAGGGTTTCATTTTGGAAACCTATTTATTACATATAGAATGCTTAGCATTTCAGTAGTGAAGTGCCATCGTACCTATAGGCTGGGGGGCCACCTTCTCAGCACCACTGAGGCAGAAAGAGATCTTGGAGTTACTGCTGACTCCGGGATGAACATGAGTTGTCAATGTGATGAAGCAGTTCATCACACCTTGTCGTGCCTCCGTAGGTGCTTCACAAACAGGTCCAGGGAGGTGATTCTCCCTCTATACGTGGCACTGGTAAGGCTGCAGCTGGAGTACTGTGGCCAGTTCTGGATGCCGCAGTTCAAACAGGATGTGGACAACCTGGAGAGGGTCCAAAGAAGAGCTACTCGTCTGATTGGAGTCCTGCAGGGAAAGCCCTATGAGGAAAGGCTAAGGGACCTTAACCTCTTCAGCCTCTCCAAGAGAAGGCTGAGAGGGGACCTCGTGGCGGCACACAAATTCATAAGGGGAGAGCAGCACAAAGTAGGCAATGATCTGTTTACCAGGGCATCCCCTGGAATAACAAGGAACAATGACCATAAGCTAGTAGAGAGTAGGTTTAGACTGAACATTAGAAAAAAGTTCTTTATGGTCAGGGTTGCCAGGATCTGGAATGGGCTTCCAAGGGAGGTGGTGCTCCCCCCATCCTTGGGGGTCTTCAAGAGGAGACTGGACAGGCACCTGGTTGGGATCACATGATCCCAGGTTTGGTGCCCCTTTTCTTGCCTGCCAGGGGTAGGAGCCCGGACTAGATGGCCCACTGAGGTTGCTTCCAACCCTAGAATCTATGGACTGTCAAAACTGGAAGCAACATTTGGAAATGCTTATAAAACTTCACCAAAGAAATCCCCTAAACCAGGGCTGAGCAATTATTTGGGCTGGAGGTTTGGACTTAAGGAGGTTTGGTGAGCTGTTGGGAGGGAGTGCCACAGCAGGGGAACAATTGATCCTTTCCAGCTTGGGCCTGTCCATCCCATACCCACCACTGGGAGTGCTGGGTAGAGCAGGTGGGCGGGGTCTCCATGGAGACTGATCTGGGACCCCTGCGGACAGGGCACGCTCAGCTGGGTGGATGGGATGTGGCCGTAGGGGGCCTGGGAGCAGCATCTGGAAGCAGAATGTACAGACAGCCAGGGCCAGGATTGTGGGGTGGTGACAGTGTGGCGCCGGGGCCTGGGATAGAGCCGCAATCCGCTCCCTGTGCATCCCCTGCCCGTGGAGGGGTATCAATGCCTCTTTATTGTTGCAAGGATGTGCGGGGAGAAGATTGCAGCTCTGCCCTGGGCCCTGACCCTGTGCTGTCACTGCCCCACAATCTTGGCCCTGACCCTGCCTGCCTGCCTGTTCTGCTCCCAGATGCCATTCCCCACCCACTTGCAGCCCTGTTCCATCCACCCAGTCGAGTGTACCCTGCCCACCGGGGTCCTGGGCTGGTTGTCATGGAGACCCTGCCCACCTGTCCCCTCCATCCAGTGCCTCTGGTGGTGGGTGCAGGGCAGACAGGCGGGGATACCTAGGCAGTGGGGCCAGGTCTGGTGGCAATACTGACAGTGGCAGCTGGAAGGAGTTGCTGCTGCCGAGGCTGTGGGGAAGCTGAGTCTGGCTTCTGTGCCACCCCTGCCCTGCTGCCCACCAGCCACACACATCACAGCCTTGGGTTGCCCCTCGCACCTGGGCCAGGTGGGGCTGCAGGTCCCACCGTGTGCTGGATAGAGTCCCTTAGCAGGTTGAATCCAGCCTGTGGGGTGTATTTTTCCCACTCCTGCCCTAAGGCCTCCCTCATCTCAATATTTATCTGCTGTATTAATAGATTTTGTTTAATAGGGTCCATTGCAGACTTATTTGACAGAAAATAATTGCTAGAAATTATAAAAGATATCCAACATGAAATGCCAATACTCTTGTTGTTCTGTTTTTTACCTTGCTTTGCCAGTCCTTACTTGTTTGGTGTTTACCGTGTTGGTTGAGAAAGATGGACACTTAATGAGGCTGAAAGGTCTCCAGAAGCCACTAGATGGAGCCAGTGTCATATCTCAGACTTTTTGTTTTCTGTATTTAATTCTGATGAGCTCAAAGCATTTTGAGAGTTTCAGGTTTTACTGCAGCTGGTGGCCCAGTTCATTTCGAGCCCCTGTAACAGACAGCTCTAATAATCTTCAGGGAGCATAGTATCTTCAGTTGTCTAGGTCTCCTATAGATGTGGAAGCAATTTGAATGCCTGGACTGGAGTGTATTAATAGGGCACGTTTCTGTAGGAGTAGAATGCCTTTTTACTATTTTATTCCTGCTTCTCCCCTGTGTGCCTTCTCAGCATAGACAAGGTGTGAGGGTCAGTGTCGTGTCCTGGTTCCCTACCTGGAAAGTGTGAGGAAGATCCGGATTCTGTCAGGAGCATTGCTCTGGAGAGAAGTCGGCACACTGTGCCAACAGCAGATATGAAATACCAGCACTCTGCTGTCTGCTTCTTGGAACCTAAAAGTGGGCATGAAAACTTCCTGTGTTTCAAACTTTAGACCTCTTATGTTATTGAGCACTGAGCCGCAGCAACAGGAGCTTAGTTATGCAAGTTTCACATTTACCTTTCTTACTGTTTCTTCCCTAGCTTCATACAGAAAAGCCATACAAGACACCCATTGCTCTACAGCCATTGTTCAAAACATCTTACAAGTTCTCCACAAAATCTACCCTAGCTCTAGATATTCAGGCTGATCTGACTGAGCTGACTTTGTTGATCTTGGTTATCAACATTATCTTTAAAGAAAATGTAGTGGTGACTTTAATTATCCAGTGGGTGCTGTTGCTCTTATAGAAAAGATGAACAAGGGAGCAAGCTTGAATGCATACTGTAGACATAACAGTTCCTATTTTCTTGTGTCCCTCATTATAGTTCCTGGTAAAAGTAATGGCTTTATCTCATTCCTTAACCTGTTAATATGTAAATTTTATGAAGCTTTGTTTGAGTCCAATGTAATGTCTGCTGGCTGGAAAAATTCAGATTTATCCAGTACGTGGGATGGGGTTAGTATTATGAGGGGAAAGGGAAATCCAAGAGGAGGAGCACTGGGTAACTGAACACTTGGGATTTGAACTGGAAGCATCGAAACATTGTCTGTGCATGAGCTGACTTGGCTACAAAGCCCAGGGAACCTACTAGGGGGAGAAAGGATTAGTGTGTGTTATATTTTAAGCTGCCCCTAAATTTTACCCACTAAATACTGTGAATTATGTACTAATTGAAATTCTCTGATCAACCATCCTGCTGGACACCTTGTTGGAAATCCTGTATTGAAAACTCTGCACCAAAACCCTGCTTTTTGTATTCCTAGGACATGTAGAGGGGGAATTTTCAAAACTGCACAATTCATAATCTCCATCATTTGGAAAAAAAAAGTATGGGAATGAGTTTCTCTCCCATGTGATGTGAATGTTTTCTCCAAGGAATCAGGGACATACAACCCCAGAAAACTTAAAAAGGAAATCCTTGCATTGTAATAGCATTTTTCTTAGATACAGAGAAAATCAAAACATCCATAATGAATGTCATACATTTATTAATGCACCTGAAACTGGACCTGTGAAGTAGTTACGGATGAAAAGTATGAAAATCCTGTTAATAGATCTAAGAAAAAAATAAACACAGTGTTCCCTCTCTTTTTCTCTCTCAAGAAAAGTAAGGATCAGTTAAATTGTCTAGCATGTCTGGAAACAGGAAGTAGTAGAATGAATGGTGGTATATTGTGAGGGCGTCTTGGTGAGTTGTCTAAAATAAATTTGGAACTTTTTTGTTTTTGTGGTATCCAGAGCAGACAATGAGTGTGAGTATCCTCTGAATTTCATGATGGTTAGTAAACTATGTGGCTCTAGACAGTTGGGACTTTTTAGAAAGGAAGCTAGTTCAGGAGGTTGAAATCTTGGTCTGCATAACAGAAGGCATATTTAAGAAATAAGTCCAAAGAGGGGGTCTTCCATTTTTCTGTTCACAGCCAGTCGCATTCTGGGCAGTAGGTGCAGCTCAAATTAAAAACAAATCAATTGTATGAAATCAACAGTTTTCTTTTATATTTTTTTCAATTGAGAAAATTGTTGGTTTTTTTTATTTTATGTGTGGGTGTTTCTTTTAAATAATTGTCACCATTAAACAGTTATACAGATGCTTTGAGCTTTAAATAATTAGACTCGCAACATTTCAAATTATATTTATATTCTGTCCCTTGGGAGAGAAATGGTTTTTGCATTATCAGCTCTTAAGTACTTTCTTCCTCCCAAAAAAACCTGCTGTAACTCTGATTAGGGAAGAAAATGAGCATACATATGGCTTGTTTAGAGTCTGTTACAAATAATCTCTCACCCTCCAATGGAAAAAGAAAATCGTTTTCCATGACTAGGTATTCATATATTCAAGAAAATTAATGTATCATTGTAAATCACATTGAACTGGCATTCTAAAGAAGTATTTTGAGAAAACAGTATAGCTGGACTTTAAGACTTGCAGTGTGTGGTAGGGAGAACATCTGTTGCAAGTTAGAGCTAGGACTAAAATAGATTCTGATTTCTGGTGTGTGCTTCTATGGCAGAGAACATGAGAAAATGACAGATTCACAGAAGTTTAGGGCTGGAAGGGACCTCATGAGATCATTGGGTCCAGCCCCCCTGCTCTGGGCAGGAGAGACTACTGGGGTCAAATAACCCCAGCAAGGTGTGTGTCCAATCTCCTTTTGAAAATCTCCAGGGTAGGTGCCTACACCACCCCCACTAGGAGTCTATTCCA